TATTAACTGACCTTGGACACTTGGAAATTCCCAGCTTCTACACAACAAATATAGGTTTGTTTTTCTCCCCTTTCCTTTCAAGCTGATCTGGAGGCCCATCCAAAATTTTAAATATAACAGCTGATACATAATGTTCTCTAAGAACAAGCCTGACCCTCAGAGCCGTTTCAACAGTCTAGGCCTGTTCAACTATGCCTATGGTACGTGAAAAAATATCCACTTGTGCACAAAAATAGGGCATGCAACCACAAGCACTGTGAATGCAATTAAGGAGCGTCTGGCCTTAAGCTTCTGAGGAAACCACCCTAAAACCTTTAAAAACTAAAATAACCAACCTAAACCTTACAAAATTAGAAAAACTTGGGCTTTTCTCTATATACAATTGAATTTGTCTTTAAGAAGAAAACGTTCACTCTGGGCAAAAACCAAAATATTTTAGTTTGGACTTCGCTGTTGCATTGCCTCTTGGGAGTTGTATTTCCTTTGTGTCATATATTATGTCCCAGTTTTTCCATTCTGGGACAGGCTTCCCTATGAGGGCTTCATTTCTCTCGACACCCACAATCATGAAGTCAGGGAGATAGTGCTGCATCATGGGAATCTGATAAAGGACCTGTCATGTAGCAGGAAGTGACAGAGCAAGGAGAGAGAGGAAAGGAGGAGGTAACTGAATTATTATCCCGTGCAACTGGCTACCACGTGCTTGACTGAAAAAAGGGACACAATGGAGAGCATGAAAAGGTGATGAAAAGGCTTTGAATAGAGAAAGCTCCACAACTTTCTGAACTGCTGTTCAGTGATGCATTTTACATGTTCATTTCAAACATTTCATGTTAATGTATTTAATAACTAGGAAACAAACACCATGCTTTTTCCAAAAGTCCCTGCATCCAAGCTGTAAGCGGACAATACAATCATTGTTTTCCATAAATGCATTCAACAAAAAAACAGGAAGGTTATACTGGAACTATTTACAGAGTTGAGAGACATCCTAGAGCCTACCTTGCTGTTCAAGGCTATGAGCAGGCCAGTGTGATATCTGATTAGACCAGCACCGTATAGCCTGTGGCCTTGAAGGCTCTAAACTGTGGCATTCACCAGCAACTTGTGGTAAAAAGAAAATGTGTATTTGATTATGAACCAAAAACAATGTTTCTTGGCTTGTGGTTTTTCAAATGAGGTGTTTAAATCAGCCCCATTGCTACAAGCAGAAGGTAGGGGATGACTTCCCCAAACACCTCCCACTACCTGCCTCACAGCTGTGCAGTAGTTTAGTGTGAGCCAGGACTATTTTCTCTATGTTGCAGCTGTTTGGCAGTCCCTTCCCACTGGGCTCCTGTGGCCTGGCAGGGGAGGGAGACTAGCTGTGGTTGCTCCATTGCCCCCTAGGCTGTGGAGAATACAAGGGAGAGCCCAGCAGGCGCTCCGCTGGATCTGCCGTCTAAAGGAGTACTTGGCAAAGGCCAATGGGCCTTTTTCTTCCACCTAGTTAATTAGGCAAAACATGTGAGGGGAGAAAGTGAAGATGCTTAGAACAATCAGAGAGATACCTTCTCGAATACTGCCCAGCACAAGCTGGAGCAGCCTCAGTGTTGTTCAAGCATCTGCCAACCAGCTACAGTCCCCCTTGGAGCTATTAAAGTATCAAATACTTAACACTCAAAGTATTAAGTACTATTAAAGTAAAGACCATGCAAGTAAATTGAACTACCACCACTGTCCCTTCCCACACACAAGATACTTCAAGGCAGACAGTATAGGAGTGAACTCTTTGATTTTCATGTCACCTAGGGGATGCCCTCCACTTTGGTCCTGCAGGTGGCACTTCTTTTGAGGTGCCTGGGCAAAACAAAGGGTACAAAGCAAGGCAGATAATCTTCCCCAAAGGACTGGTTCTGCCCCCTTGGTTTTTTTGAAACAACGTTTCTTCTAAATAATAAGTTTCAACACGAACATGCCGGATGGTAGCGAGGCATGAAAAACGCTGCATCTGGGAAACACCTATTTCACAACAAAGCATACTTAACAGGAACATACCTACTCAGTGCAGTGCCCAAATGGCTAGAAGAAAAACTGCAGTGGAACAGAAAGTTTGTTAAACCGCAAAGAGAAAGGCCAGTGCTTCAGAAATATATACAAAAGTGTCAGGATCCTTGAAGGAATGGTCCATACTGTACTAATATATGGTGAAATGCTGAACAACGACCTAGGAAGGAATAACCTGTTTTCTTGCAATATTTCCGAAATTCAAGAAAGATTTACATGCCCAGCGAGAGAGAAGTCTGTAATGTAATTGTAGGCAAGGTACAAAATAGCTCAGGGACAATGCACCCCATTTTCCTCCGTGCTGATCTTACATAATTTGCTCCCTTTCTGGTCCCATGACTGGTTTCAATGTTGTATCAATGTTGCTGTGCTGGAGTATGAAGGCCTTTATAAAGGAAATTAAAGTCTTTAAAAAAAGAGAGAAAGACAGGGAGAGTGGGAGGGACACACACACAAAATGCATCTTATTTCATGCCCACAATGATGAAATGCTGCTCTTCCCTACTCTCTCCCAACCTGTCCCTAGATCTACAACTGACTGAAGTGAAATCATTTAAATGCTTTTTGTGTTCCCCTGATTAGCACTATAAAATCTGGAGCACCACTGTGGATACACAAGGGATTAGCGGGTAAGTGAATAGTCTGTATATTCCGCCAAGTGATAGGTCCTTTAACTACTCACAAATGTCAGACAGAAAAGCTCCCAAAGGTGCACTGGATGTTCAATGGACAGTTTTTGCTAACAGGACCATGTGCCATGCCTTACTTAAAAATATACATATCTTAGGTTGCTCCGGTACTGCACCCTGCTAGTCTGATTGTGGCTACTGTCTAGCACCAGGATGAATATAAATATAAATAATTCCTTTTTAATAATTAAAAAGTTTGTGTTACTGGTCTATTGGCTACTAGACAGAAAATCAAATACAGAAGATCCTGAATAAAAAGCTGTGATAATGGTTTTCTTTTGAAAGCACATAATATTCTGCTCAAAACTTTGAGATCCCATAACTGTAGCACTAACTATAACTAATTAAAGTCCCAGTTAATCAAAGTTAGATACTACCACCTCAGGTAAAACCTTGGATTGGAGTCTTCTAATTCTCTGCCCCTGTGTCACCATAAGAAAAATTTTGCCCTGCACTTACTGTAGTTTGAGACACGAAAGGCCCCTTCCTCATGTATGCAACAGTGGGCAAACTAACATTCCCTTTAAAGGAATGTAGGTGTCTGATCCCATGACCAGTAAAAGCCTACTGGTAATGTTATCTTGGTCATGCTTCTTAAAGGTCTGTTAAGCCCTTGGCTTCACCTTGTAAGATGAAACTGATTATGCTCCTTTTGTTGAGGTCATAATTTTACTTCTCAGAGAAAAAAATATTTAAAGGTCACTGGTATATAGTTAAGAAAAATTCAAAGGAGAAAAAAAGCCCCAACCCCCAAAATAAAAGTTTGTATATTTAAAGGAACCAAGGGGGGTTTGGGGGGGGGGGGGAACCCCAACCTTAAACCCAGGGCCTAGACCTCACAATTCACTGGCATGGAACAGCCGCAACAGAGCCGCTGCTTTGATCCCAGCTCCCTACTTATTCCTCTTCCCATTACAGAACTCCTGACATTTCATTGGTATTCAGAGGTGATTAAAATATATCCCAATTCCTATAAATAGGAACATCAGTCTGAATACTAATTAAAAATAAGTCTGGCATTTGGAAACTCACATCAACAAAAAAATAAAGAGCTGAAATAAATAGCAACAGTTGAAGTGTTGCCCAGCAAAGTGTGGGTTGTTTTTTGGGGTTTTTTTGGTGAGGGTCGGGGGGGTCACAGAGGAAAAGGCTAGACTTCAACACGCTGGAGTTTTTAAATTGCCATTGGGATTTATCTAAAATGTACTACAGTGACCACCTAGCCATTTCAGTGCAACAGTAATGAGAAAGATTTTAAATTTCTGCTTCATTTTTAATTACTGGCATAAAAGTCCAATTATAACATAAGCCATGCACAGTGAATTTCTATGTTGTTCACAGTAGGTTTTAATAACCTAGGAGCTAAATATCATGCTAAGCTTTGTAGTGCTCCTTCATTATGTTGGTATGGATATAGTCTCCTCAATAACTAACCAATTTTAAATTTAGAAATATCATACCAGCTTCTATACAACATGCACTTCCCTAAAGCCTCTCAACTCTCTCTGCTTGAGAAGCCCATGGGATTACACACAGTACTTATGTCCGGTAGTATTAGCAGGACTGGCCCCAACTTAAGAAGAAAGCCATGTGGGACAGGGAGCCTACTGTCATTTTTGTATGCAATGTACCAATCTCATTTATGGATACCATATAAATAAAAAATTTCCCCTATGCTTGTTAACTGGATGCAGTTGGTTACCACTGGTTCCTCCTAAAAACTCATATCCCACAAAATAATTTTTTACTCTTTCATAACATCACAAATCTATTTCAAGAGTGAGGCCTCAGTTCTAACTGAAAGCAAACAATGTAGGCTGACCATGAAGAAGAATTTTAGACTAAATCAGATAAAAAAAAAGTGACCTCATTCTGAGGTACAACAAAACCATAGCAGTTTCAATATACAATATTTATTATGCCCTAAGCAATTTATTTTGTGTGCGTGTGCACTCTAAAGGTGCGTGCTGTAAGCACACACAGACATACTGGAAATTATGTAACATGCTAATAATCTTATATAGCCTAACTATGGTATGCACTCTTATTGAAGAATACACAGCATACTCTAATGTAACACACACATTCATGCTGAGGCATACAGAGTGAAGTATAATTTACCTGTGCCTCTTCATTGTTAAATACATGCAAGTTTAAACTTCTCTAACAGTAAATTGAGCACAAGGTCCTAATGGTGTGCCAGCATTCCTAGCCAATAGAACCATAACTCAGTTTAATATCTCAGTGGGACTGCTAATGAATTACCTCTGCATCCTGCTCCTGGAGGCGATACGTTTTCTCTAAGCACTGAAGAGTTCGGGGACATAACGTTTTCTCCTCCAACAGAGACTCCAGAAGCAAGACCAGCTGGTCTGGGAGAAGCTAAAAGCAAAATAAATGCCTTATAAGAATAAAACCATGCTTACTGAGCAATTAAACTGAAACAGATCAAAGAGGACAAGGCTACAATAACCTGTGTAATTCTAGTATGTGTTTGAAACGTGGGAAGACCTTCTATTTGATTTCTGAAAAACCTCAGCGTTTATAGTGTTTGTATTCTGAAAGACTCCATTCTAGGACCTAATTAAGACTCATTTTCTGTGGCTTTCCATTCCTATATTTAGATCAGATCAAAACCATGTTTATCTTATTGAAACATTATCGTGACTTATTAGGCTCAGATCTTTATGGAATACATATGCGAAGTAATTCCATTTTGCTGGGGTTCTGTGAGGGTAGAAACAAGAGGATAATTTATAGTGCATCATTTCAAGAGTCCACCAGACATATGACTGTTTAACTACAACAGTGGTTTATAAATTAATGGGCACTGTATTCCTGTACTGTACAAAAAACACAATCTACATAAGTGGCAAACAACACAATAAAGATTGTAAGGGCACATTTCTAGTGTAGTTGTCCACCACATTGAAACAGGGACCTCCAGATCTAGAACATATCATGCGTACTAGAGCGCAAAACCTAACCCTTTTCAAGTTGAAAAATGGCCTGAGAAGAAAAAGTGCAAGCAGTCTCATGTAGTAAGTGCTTAAGTGCTTCATTTAATAGGCTTACTGGATGAACAAATAAATAATTCACAGAAAGCTCAGAGAGAAAGCATATACACTAGCTGCCAGGAAATATATATTGGAAATCAGAGTTCAGAAAGTCCTAGCAGAGAGTTCCTTATTCACTCAAATATTTTTTTCCCTTTCCTGCTATTATAGGAAAAATCCACAACTGAACTGAAGCTCTTGCATGTAAAATAGGAACCCAACATTATTCAGCTTTAAGGTTCTGCAGACAGACTATTACAAATCCTGCATCCTCCATACTAATTCCACTTCTATTTCATTTTAAGATCAGATTTTGGACCCCTCTGAGACTTCCCCTTTCTGTGTGTAAGAAATTCTTCTCCTGCACCACTGCCTACCATACGGCCCTACTTTTTCATTTTGCTAACCAGGTGCAACTGTACCATTGTACACTCAAAGGCCACCACTTTCATTTTATTCTCCTAGACACATACTGCAGCCAAGGTCAGTTGCTTGGAGTACTCAAGTCCTCACCTCACAATTAGTTTGAGATGAAAAAGGGTTGCCTCTAATTCAGCCCCGACTCTCTCTAAAGGGAGGCTAGTATCCAAGAATTCCTAACTGTTTTCTTCTGTTTTAATGACCACCCCTTACAAACCAAAAAGCAGTGTCTGGCAGCAAGACCATGAAATGATCAAGGATTTTCTTCTCAAATCTCAACCTGTAAACCTTTAGCAGTTAATAACTAAACAAGCAAGGAGACAATCTTCACTCTCAAAATGACATCACTTGGCATTTAGCACATAAATCAAATGCTAATAAGGAAGGACATAAATCACCAGCATTTTAACAATTTGTTCTGCTCTGCAAAACATTCTTTTATCATCAAAGCTGTTTTCTGAGGATTTGAAAAATAGTCACATCTTACTCATTCCTTCTAACTGAAAAAGTTTCAAGGTAACACCCAAACCTGTCAACAGTAAGGAAAACTGAGTTGTTAAAAATAGTAATAAAAGGAAAAAATAGTTTTTCAATGTCAGGACAAAACACTAAAATACCAACTTGGATATTATTGCACAGTCCAGGAACAGCTGCTTCAGAAAGAAAACAGGAAAGACTTCTGGGAAATGGCTCTGCTTGGAAACTGAATTCATCTTGAATGCTAATAAAATTTGAAATGTTGCAGAACACCATTCACTGAAGGTAACTTCTTGTTTAGAAAGCTTTCACTGTTAAGCATGGGATAATAGAGCCACCCTTTGTTTTCAGAAACTGCAGGGTAGTTGGTTTTTTGACACAATCTTCACCTTTCTGTTATATGAATTCACATACAAAGTGACTGCTTAAAATACAATAATATTCGGGAATCTTTATATTATTTAGGCCAACAAAAGCAAAGAGATTCAAGGGTGAGGCAGTAATCATGTCCTTAATTTACCTCACTGTGTCACTGTGCTGAATGATAGGCTCAGATTTTCAGAGACTACAATTACGGATCTAACAACACATTGGGGGGGGGGGGGGGGGGGAAAAAAAACAAATATAAAAAAATCTGAAACCATGAAACTAATCTCCTTATATTGTAAGTCCCTGGGATGAGACCTTATATGCCAGGTTCCGGTTCACAGCATGATTTAAGGCAAGCTATGAGCTACTGAACAGAGCACAGTGGGTGAGGGCATTAACGGGGAATGCTGACAGACCAATAACTAAAGCGGCACTAGTGGGCGCAGTTATAACACTTTGTCCTTTCTCAGTCACTTCAACTAAAATGCTGGGAAGTAATGTATATTCCTTCAACATTTTCCCCCATCCTTAACAAAAGGAGACCGGTTAACACAAGATGTAGATTGCAGAAAAATGAGGAAAGCTCAACAAAGCTTATTAAACAGACAACTATAAAAATCCCATTTTGGTACTTATATTCTTTCTGTTCTGATTCCTCCCGATGCAACAATATGAATGTTATTTTTAAAATAAACTATTTTTAAAGGTCTTTATAATTTCATGAAACATTAATTTGTGCTTTAATTCAACTACACACAAGCCTATTTTTTTTTTTGTTTCCCTGTTCATGCCTACTCCCCTGCACATCCTCTATATGGTTGCGCATCTCATTCACCTGTTCTACCTATCTTTCATTTTAACATGGGAAGTTCTCGGGATACAGTCTGTCATTTAATAAGTATCTGTACTGTGCCTAGTCTAATGGAGCTCCAGCTTCTATGTGCTACAAAAATATGAAATGTTACAGAACAATAGTAATAAATTCCTCTTAACAATGAGAAAAACATTTAAAACTGATGAGAAATGTAATTCTCTTACTTTATCTTAAATATATGGTGGTCAGAAGAAATGTATCATGCAGGTACAACACAGTACAGCCTGACAAACTTTAAAGCGTCAATGTGTATTTCTGTCTGAAAAAAGGACCAGCAGTTTTGTGACAAGAAAGGAAATATATGTGATGCCAAAATACTCAGATTCATAATGATTATTAAAGACGATTTAAAAAATATGGCCAGAATAAAGACAGTTTATTTACAGTGCAAATCTAATTGCCACCAAAAATTGTACAATGGCAATATGGCATGAGTTTACAACGTTATGCATTTATGTTACAAAGTACATTTTATAGCCCCAGTTATGTCTACACCACAGAAATTAAGTTATTTTCCTCCTCTTTTTTTTTTTTTTTTTTGCCTATAGTGCTTTACTGTGCCAACAGTACAGACACGGAATGAATTAGTATGTTGTGGTCTAGCACACTAGAGCTTTTTGTAATGTTACAAACAATTAAACAATATCCCAGTTAGAAGGCTATTTTCTCAGTACCATGTACCTTATTTTATTTGTCTTGCCTTTAAAGTTGCATAGCTTCTGCTATATTTACCAGGGGATTGAAAAACTGTGCTCTGCTTTTTAGAAAAATAATTGCTGGCATATTTTCATTTGTTGCCTTGTTCAGGGGTTTCAAGTTTGGACTACTTAAGATATTTAACTTTAAAGCATAACTTTGAAAAGAGTCAAAGATGATTTTCTATTCAAAAGAATCTGAAGAAAAACAGAAAAATAAAAAATATGTAACAAATGGAAAATACAAACTGCTGCCAGATAAACTACAACTGCAGATTGTCACTTAAGTAGCTTACACATTCTAAATATTGAGATTCAATGTTTAGTAAACACTGAGAGACAGGGGAAAATGCATATATTGTATTCTATCCATAGCAAACTATGATCCAAAGTATTTAAAATTATGCTGCAATTCAAGTATCTCTGAAAACTTTAAGCAGTTCCGAGAAAGAATTTCCATAAGGCTTCTTGGAACAAAAATATGAATTTTCTGAACCCCACCCATAACCTGTAAAAAAAAACCAAACAAACAAAAACAAAACAAAAAAAACCCAATGAAAACAAATCTAGCCTCTTCAAAACTCTCATATTGCAGCTACAAAGGTCACTGGCCTCACATCCCGAAAGACCACCCACACTAGGGAGATGATTTATCAATTCCTACATTAGCATAATGCAATAAATGCCACATTCACCATTTACACTAGAAAAATGTCATTGAAACATTTGGCTACTGACCTTTCACAGCCAGGAAATGTGACATAGATATATACACTTGAGCATCTACAGCACCACTGCTTGCACTGCACCCCTAAGCTGGGACACAAATCACTAAAGTAATACAGCTGGTATGCTGAAAATCCCATTTGCTCCAGTCTGCACTTGAATGAAGTCATTGAAAGCCTCCTTGGAGGGGAAATGCGCCTCAGACTAATGCAGCAACCGATTGACAGTGGCGTGATTTCTATTATTACTCCATTATCACACTGGGATCTGTGCCTAAATGAGCATACTTCCTCCCTGATGCCATTTCCTTTTATTCTGGCTGTAGTCTAAAAGCGGATCAATGGGAGTAATACATATGATGTCACTTCAATTTACAGCTACTGCCTGCCTCTCTCACATGCACAGATAGATCAATTCTTCCCAAAAATGGTTAAGAAATGCATGGGGAGACTCTTCTCCCAGAAAAGGGTTCTCTGCTATATTTGTCTATGTTACTACAGCAAAGAACTGTTTATACTGAGAGAAAACAGGGGGGAAAAGGAAAAAAGTCACTACTGTACACTGGAGAATGCTGGCTGAAATTCAACACAAACAAGGCCAAAAACAGAATTAAAGCAATTTGACCTTTGCAAATCATATTGAAAAGGCTATGAGTTTGAGAGAGACAATAGATTCCAAACGTATTTCCTCACTTGAAGGTAATCCTAGAAAAAAAAAATTGTAAAATTCCTTTTCACTTACATTTTTACTAGGTCTCCCAAAGTC